ATGAAAGCAAAAGTGCAACAAATCATTATCAAATAAAAAATAGAAATAAATGTTGTATCCAATCAGAGAACATGATCTGACTAAATACAACCTTTGAGAACCAGTAAAGGTTCTAACACTATTATGACCCACACAGGAGGCTGGAGCTGAAGATAGAAAAGGATAATGTGTACTGGTTTTATTAGATAAAGGTTTGGTTGGTTCCTTGGCTCTTCGGAAGAGCCATGCTTCTTCTCATCGTACTGATTTTGAACAAGTCTATTACCTATTATGAAACTTAGATGCTTTCCACAATTATGGTTAGGTCTATCACCAGGTAATAATCAAAGTTTTTAGAGGGTTGAAATGATAGTTCAACTACTTAAGAGCACTGGCTGCCCTTGGAGAGGACCAGGATTCTGTTTCCAGCACCCACATGGCAGCTGACAACCATGTACAATTCCAATTCCAGGGGATCAGTGTTTCTCTTCTCATCTTTGCAGACACTGCATGTACATGGTATACTTACATACAGGCAAAATACTCTACATAAAACTTTTTTTTTTTTTTGTCTTTTTGAAGCAAGATCTTCCTAGCCCCAACTGTCTTGGAACTCACTATGTAGACCAGGCTGGCCTCGAACTCACAGAGATACACCTGCCTCTGTCTCCCAAGTGCTGGGATTAAAGGCATGCGCCACCATGCCCAGCTACATAAAACTTTTTAATTTGTAAAGCACCTAAAAGGATACCCAATTTATAAGCATTATGTAAGTGTTGTTTTAGAAACCAAAAGATGGGAATGGAGAGATGATTCTGTGGTTAAGAGCACTAGCCACTCTTGCAGAGGACCTGGGTTTGGTTCCCAACACCCACATGGTGGCTAACAATCATCTATAACTCCAGTTAGTTACAGAGGATTTGACACCCTCTTCTGACCTCTGTGGGCACTGCAGCCATGGATGCACTTACATGCATGCAGGAAATACAGTCATACACAAAAAATAAAAATAATAAATAAAAATATTTTGAACAATTGCAGAAAACAAAATATACACAGGGATCACCCATACTCACTACAAAATAATGTGATGCATGTGATGACAAAGTATTACTATGGTTTGATACAATGTGTATCCTAACAGAATTCTGTGTAAATATTCACCCAACCCCGTACTCATGCAGGGAAGACCCACAGAGAAATAAGGCCGTTTTACAAAATGAAAAACACAAAAGAGGTTCTCCTGTAGACCTGGGTTTTCTTCTTAAATTTTCCCTTCTATGTACTGGTATGATATAATGCCCTTAGATGGGCTTCTAAAAAGTGGAGAAAGTAATTTTATGAGAGCATTAATAAAATGCCTGTATTTCATTTCAAGTAAATGAAACAAATGACTACTTTTTCCCTAGTATGATTAGCTATTAAGATTTGGGGACTATAGCTTTTTGGTTCATGCTGTCTGCATGTCATGGTAGCACAAAGCAGGCAGGTGGTAAAAGAGTAGTGAGTGGCATTGCACTGTTGACCTTACAGTTTCAAAGTTCCAAGGGCAGACTATGGATGAAGAAGGCCTTTTCTTTTCTCCTTTCCTTGATTTCCTTGAGTTAAATAAAAATGTTTACCTAAGCCGAGGGCAGTTCTGACCTAGAGCATTCAGGATGGCATCTGTGATGTTGGAGCAGCCAGAGGCACAGAGGGACTGTAACTTATGGCACCCTCTGCATATAGTAATGAGACCTTCGTCTGTGATTTGCTAAAAAATAAGAGAAAAAAATGTGTAGATATTAGTAACTTAGAAGATGAAAAGGGAAAAATAAAATACTTCTGTAAAAATAAGAGCATAAAGAAATCTAGGCTGGTTTAATAATAATCAGATACCAAAATGAAAAGAACACAACAGCTTATCTTTCAACTCCTGATCTGGTTTGCACAATAATCTGTGCTCATTTTCGGTATAAAGGGAAGATGTTATACTGGGATTCTTTTAACTTAATGACACTGGGAATAGCATGGGGCATGCTATGGTATGGGTTCAATTAAATAACTTTAAAACCAGCTAGGCGTGGTGGTGCATGCCTTTAATTCCAGCACTTGGGAAGCAGAGGCAGGTGGAGCTCTGTGAGTTTGAGGCCAGCCTGGTCTACATAGTGAGTTCCAGAACAGCTGGGGCTACAGGGAGACCCTGTCTCAAAAAGACAAAAGAAAAAAAAAACTTTAAAACCTAGAAAATAGGTAAGACAGCAATAATGAACATATGTTAATAATGAATATGTTAATAATGAACATATTTACAAGTATAATTAAAATGTTTAATGAAAAAATTAAGAGTGGATGGCTGCAATCTCATCACAGCATCCATTTCAGCTTTTATAATAAAGAATATTCCATTTAAATTACAACTGTTATTTTTTTAAAATATTTTATTAATTTTATGTGTACGTGTGTATTGTCTGCATGTAGGTAAGTGCACCCCTGGAACTAGAGTTACGGAGAGCTATAGTTGTTAGCTGCGATGTGGGTGCTGGGATTCGAACCTGGGTCTTCTGCAGGAAGAGCCAATGTTCTTAACCGCTGAGCCATCTCTCCAACTCCTTATAATTATTAAGAAAAACGTTACAGTTGGGTATGTGGGCATATACCTGTATACCTGTAACCTCAGCATTGGTGGGAATGGGGAACGAGGATCTCAAGTTCAAGGCAGACCTTGTCTCAATTAAAAAAAAAAAAAGCAGGGGACAGGGAGAGGTGTTACACAAACATTTGTATGTATGCGTTTGAGATGGGGGTCTAACTATGCAACTCGGCTCAATTCATGGAAATCCTTTTGTTTTAGCCTCCAAAGTGCCAGGATCACAGTTATTAGCCATCATGCTTGGTTTTTGTTTTTCTTTCTTTTTTTTTTACTTATTATTTTATGTGTATTGCCTGCGTGTAGGTAAGTGCACCCGTGTCATGCAATGCCCTCGGAAGACAAAAAAGGCTGTCGGATCCCCTGGAACTGGAGTTACAGACAGTTGTCAGCTGCCATGTGGGTGCTGGGATTTGAACCCCCAGTCTTCTGCAAGAACAACCAGTGTTCTTAACTGCTGAACCATCTCTCCAGCCTTGGTTTTTGTTTTCTTTGAAACAGGGTTTCACTACGCAGCCCAAGCTGGCCTAGAATTTGTTGTATAACCTAGGCTGCTTCCAACTCATGATCCTCTTGCCTCAGCCGGCTCAGTGCTAGGATTACAGATTTGTGCTATCAAACCTGGCTAAGTCACTGGGTTTTTATTTTTTGAGGCAGGGTCTTGCCAAGTAGTCCTGGCTGGTCTGGAATTCAAAGAGATATATTAAGCCTCTGTCTCCCAAGTGCTAGCTAGGACTATAATAATTTTGAGCCACCACACCTAGAATTTCTTTCTTTCTTTCTTTCTTTCTTTCTTTCTTTCTTTCTTTCTTTCTTTCTTTCTTTCTTTCTTTCTTTCTTTCTTTTCTTTCCTTCTAGCACCCAAATGCATGTGTCCACATACAGATATGTACACATACACTTTTTTTTCCTAGTCTTTTTTGAGACAGTGTCTCTCAGTGGCCTGGAACTCACTACATAGACCAGGCTGGCTTTGAACTCATTGGAACTCACCTGCCTCTGCCTCCCGAGTGCGTGCACTACCACACCAGGCTTTGCTTTACTTTTTTTTTTGAGACAGGATTTCTAGCCCTGGCTAAGCTAGAACTATGTAGACCAGCCCAGCTTAGAATAAATTTTGTAAATTAAAAAAAAAAAATTGGAAATAGGGTCTCATGTAGTTCAGGCTGGCCTGGAACTTGCTATGTAATCATGACTGGCCTTGAAGTCTTAATCTTCCTACTACCTCCATCTTGCAGGTGGTAGGATTAGAGACGTGTGTTACCATGCCTATAAGCTACTGGACTTGATGACACTCATAATAATATTACTGAAAGGAATTACTAATACAAAAGCACTGAGAAGGGATGCTTACTAAGCAAGTTTGCAAGTTCAAAGTCACCAGTTCAGGACAGTGTGCACCTATGTACTTGAGAGCTTCATCTTCTAGCTGAAAAGATTAAAAAATAAGAAAGAGGTCACTAACATGTTGCAAAGGAGAAAAATTTAAGAGTGTACACATTTATCAAAATAGTCAACCAAGTTTCAAAGGAATAATGAACCAGAAATTAAAACAAAAAAAACTTATGATCACACAGCTAATTCCTGGTAGTAATAGTTACCAGGATATTTGTAAGTCAGTTCTTGTCATATCAAATTGTAATTATTAATATCAAATTCAGAAAAAGATTAAATAAACATTGCTAGTGCTCATGGATTTTCTTTCAGTTCTGGTTTTCCTGGAACTCCCTATGTAGATCAGACTGGTGCAATTCTCCTGAAAGTTTCTACCTCCTGAGTACCAAGGATATAGAGTGTGCCATCACTTCTGCCTATGTATTTTATTTCAAACAAATTAAATACCCTTCATGACGCCTTAAAAAAGGATGAGGAAGGCAATGTAAATTTCACACTTCTACACCCCATATACTGTTTCTTGTTTTCCTTTCTAAAAGCTTTTGGGAGAAGGAGCTGAGATGACGCTCTATGGTTATCTGTTGCTGAGAACACTGGAAACATGGTTAGGAACTCATCATAATGATGCATTCCAATCAATATTTTTCAGGATTCCACACATAACCAGAGCTTCTGTTTTAAGGCAGTCAGTCAGACATCCAAGGTTCTGTTTCAAACAAAGGAACACTTTCCCATCATAGTAAGGGCATCTTTAATAGAATCCTCAGTGTAGCTTTAGTAACCATTGATAAAACAGACTAGCCCTACTTTGTAAGTCACACCTATATTCACTCTTGATCATTTCTTTCCAGTGTTGTCTGATCAGTTCCTTCTTTCACCTGAGAACACTGAGCTTACAAAAATTTTTTTTGAGACAGAGTCTTATTATGTAGCCCAGACTGGCCTTGAACTCATGGTGATACTCCTGTCTGTCTCCCAAGTGCTAGGATTAAAGGGATCTACCACCAAGCCTGGCTTCATAAAATTTTTAATGAGAAGTTCTGCATTTATGATATTACAGGTAGAAGGTAAGCATCAACACTTGCCAGGATTGCCCCCTTTCCCTATTCAGAACAAAGTACCAGGGATAAAGCTTCTTTTTAGTACACACTAAACCATACTGTGTGAGTGTCTTTCTCCATCTTGTCCCCTCTTCCGCACAATTTAAATTTTGGTCAGATATTAATTCTTCCAATCCCTCTCCTCTCCTCTCCTCCTCTTCCTCTCTCTCTCTCTCTCTCCCCTTCCTCTTTTTGAGACAGGGTCTCCCTATAGTGCCGGCTGGCCTGGAACTCACAGAGATTCGTCTGCCTCTGCCTCCTGAGTGCTGGGATTAAAGGCATGTGCCACCATGCCCGGCTATTCTTCTAATTCTAAGAGAAACAATTTAACCTTTGATAAGCATGTGCCTTTGGTTGGTAATGTAACACAACACCCATTTCCCGAAAGACAAACATCTTGGGAATACCTACAAAGGGCTTCTGAACAGTTCCTCTGACTTTCACAAGCACTACATGGAGCATTACCTGTGTGCAGCCTTTTAAGAATAAGGCCTTGAGACCCCCACAGCCTCTCACTAGAGCTTGAATGCCATCCTTGGTTACTTGGTCACACCAGGAAATGTTCAACTGCTCCAACAGTGGACAGCCCTCACTTAGGATAAAACAAAATAAGACAAGCATGTCACCACTCCAATTCAAAGCCACCAGAGTCTCATTTCTGTGGTGCACATGTGGGACTATCATCACTAGGCAGGGTATTTTAAATCCAGCTTACCCAACAAGCACAAAGCACAAACTGGAAATTGAATGACTGGTTTAAATTTACACGGTAACAAACAAGAGTTCAAACTCAAACCAGATTCTCCGTCAGTTAATTTTACTATTATCAAGTTGTAATAACGAAGTTAAACCTTTATTAATTTTAGACAGGGTCTCACTATGCAGGCCTGAAACTCCCTATGTAGACTAGGCTGGTCTCAAACTCAAGAGATCCGCCTGCTTCCGCCTCTGGAGAGTTGGGATTAAAAGTGGGTTCCACCCTTATCTGGGACATTTCTACAGGACAGTTTCTGCAGGCTGACTTTAGGACACACTATGTTCAATCTCAATCTTTAATAAACTAGCTTCATATTTGATTCTTTCTGCTTTGATCAGTTTAGTTTCTTGTGTGGAATACAAAAGAATTCCAAGCTTTCTACACTCTCTGGAAACAATGTATGAAGTTTTAAATATTCCTTAAGTATTTTCAGTATTCTCTAAGTATTTAAGTCCAGAAAATAAAGTCAGGAGATCTAGGTTTAAGCTGATCTTCCACACAAGTAATATGACTGAAGGCAAGTCACTTAGGAAATTTGTTTAAACCTCAGTCCAGATTCACCATATCCCTTTTCTAGGTTCTCTCAAAACTAACAAAATCACTTCTATCATTGGCTATTACACAGGACTACAATATGTGCATAGATGTACTTTTCATTCATGGCCTTGTGAAAACTCAAGGGAAGCAACAATCCCTTACTTAGATGCACCACGGCTGCATCAATAGTACCTTGCATCAGACGACTTTTTAGATATTTTAAATCTGTAACTGTCTTATATACTCGACTAAGCCTTCAATAAATGGAATAATTTATATTTTATAAATGACAAGTGTTATATTTATTACCCCACATGGCAAATAGTTTTAGATGTTATATGCTTATTATTCTTAAGGAGTTTCTCAAAAGGAGCCATGTTTTTAGATTAGTTATACTCTAACTGCTAACAACCCCCCATCCCACTTCTAAGATAGGGTCTTGCTATAGCCTTGCCTGGCCTGATATTAAGTAACCCAGGCCAGCATCAAACTTGTGGTATGCTTGCTTTAGCCTCCCTAATGCTGACATCACAAGTGTGTAACATCATAATATAGAGAGCCTGGCTAACAGTTTAATTCTTATGCATAAGTACAACTAACACATGGTACTGTAATTATTCAGAAAAACCTAGTTAAAAAGTAGATTTCACTTTCCTTTTTAAGATACATTTTCTTTGGGAAGTAGAGGCAGGAGTTTCAGAAGTTGATCATTTTCAGCTACAAGTCAAGTTCAAGACCAGCCTGGAATACATGAAATGCTGTCTCAAAAAACAAACAAACAAAAAAACCTCAACAACAACAAAAAAACAAAAACCCAAAGAGGTTGTAACAAATAGTGCCTGGTGTTGCAGGCCTGTAATCCTGGCTACTGGAGAGTCTGACACAGAAGGATCCTAAATTCAAAGCCTGTCTAGGCTACAGAGTGAGTTCAGGGCCAGCCTGGGTAACTTAAGAGAAATACTGTTGGGGTGGAGAGATGGCTCAGCAGTTAAGAGTACTGGCTGCTCTTGCAGAGGACCCAAGACCCTAATTTGAATCCTAGTACCCACATAGTGGCTAACAATTATCCGTAACTCCAGTTCCAGGGACTCCAACACCCTCTTTTGACCTCCTTAAGTACTGCACAACACAGGTGCACTTACGCACATGCAGGCAATATACTTATACATATAAAAAATAGTAATAAAAACAAAAATTTTAAAAAGAGAAACACTATCTAAAATTAAAAAAAGAGAGACCAAGTGTGGTGGTGCAGGCCTATAATCACATCATCAAGGAGTTAGGTACATACAGGAGAATCAGGTCATCCTTGCCTGTGTGGAGTTTAAGGTCAGCCTGATTGGCCTGAGACCCTGTCTCAAAAAACAGAAATAAATCAATAAAAATGATAAACAAGGGTGGAGTGGTAAATCACTTGCTTAGCATGTACAAAGTCTTAGGTTTAACAGTGTTGTCTGTTTATAAAGTCAGTCAATCTGTCTGTCCCTCTGTTTCTGAAATTAAGTTTCACAATATATCCCAGGCTTGTTCTTAAGCAAATGATCCTCTTACTTCAGGCTCCAAGTGCTGGGATTATAGGCTTGCACTACAATGCCCCGCTTAATAAAGTATTTAAAAATATATGAAAATTTGGGGTTGGAGAGATGGCTCAGCAGTTAAGAGCACTGACTACTCTTGCAGAAGACCTGGGTTCGATTCCCAGCACGCACAGGGAAGCCAAGAACCATCCTTAACTCCAGTTCCATGGGGATCCAACACCCTCTTCTGACCTCTGAGACTGTACAACATGGGTGCACTTACACACATGCAGGCAATACACTCATAGAAAAAAATATCAAATAAAATATATTTTAACTGCTTACCATATACTAGGTGGCTTTTAAAAGTACCTTATATGTATTAGGCTGAAACACATGAAGCTGTTATAACACAAAAACTATTGAATATAGGCATAATTTTCTACAGTCACTCTAAAGGTATCTTGTGTAATCCTAGTTAACAATGCTCTAAGATGATAAGGAAAAGGTCTGAAAGGCTGTTTAACAAAAGCACCTGGATGATAAACTGGTTCTAGAACCCTATTTTGATCACTAAATGGCATTTTCTTTCTTTTTAAAAAAAATAGGCCTTCATGAAAATCTAATCATTAAAAATAACCCATAGAACTCTGTTCAAAAATTCTAGTTTCCTCAAGTCATTTTATTTAAATATATCCTGTAATTTTAATCTGACTAAGTGATAAGAGAAAAGATCTACTGGTACTATAGTATCCATTCATAAAACATTGCTGTTTTCAATTCCAACTGAATTATCAGTTACAGAACTCAGAGAGATCTGCCTGCTTCTGCCTTCTAAGCGCTGGGATTAAAGGCATGCTCCACCACACCTGGCTATCAGTTATTTCTTTCAAAATATGTATCAATGGACATGCTTATTGTAAGACATTTACCTCAGAGCTTTGAGAGACATGTTTGTTATAGATGTACAGGAAGCCAAGTCAAGGTGCCTGAGTTTGGAGCAGAACTTGCTAAGGCTAGTACATGTACTGAAAATAGAGAAAAAGAAAATAATGAATACATATTTAAAATATGAACATATCTGGGCTGGTGAAATGGCTCAGCAAGTAAAAAAGACCTTGCCATACAATCCTGATGACCTGAGTTCAATACTTGGATCCCATGGTGGAAGGAAAGAGCCAACTCCCCAAAGCTGCTTTCTGATCTATAAACTTGCACTGGGGCAAGTGTGAGCACACACACACACACACACACACATGGAAGTACTGTAAAACCAGACAGTTCTTGCTGTTTAACACAAATACCAAAAGTTCTGCCTCTATTCTTTCACTTAAAATGTCTATTTGTAAGAACTTTTTGCATGGCAGGAACAAAAGAACTGAACTTTCGTAAGGTATACAAAGGAAGGACTGCTATGGGCATGACAAACTATGTCTTCATTACAAAACTAGTCTAGAACTGGATCACTTGGCCCTTTCTCTTATTACCACTCAGCTCAAAATGCTTATTGATTGACTGAGACAGGTTCTTACTGCATAGCTCTGGCTAGCCTGGAGTTCACTAAGTAAACCAGGCTGGCCTCAATGATTTGCCTCTACCTCCCAAGTGCAAGGACTAACATTTCTATCTCTTAAAAGGCAACATTCTCTTAGATCTGCAGTTGGGCTCAATATTCTCAAGCCTCATCACCATCGTCTTTGTAGTTTTAGCCTTTTCCTAGAGAACAGGCTTAGTCTGCCTGCTGTAGCTATTCTGTTTCTTGACTGTTAACACTGCTTTCCCTGGGCAGACAGAATTCTTGCCCTTCTTTGTACTGTTTACTTTGTGGGGCTGGTGCTTGCTACATTTTCTGTAGAAAGTCTAGTGGGGGAACGTTCACCATTTAGCTGAAGAAAGCAAGCGGTTGGGCGAGAAAGCATATTGATTTTTTTTTTCCTTCAGGCAGGGTCTTACTCTGTAGCCTCTGGCCTTGAACTAACACAAACTCCCAAGAGCTGGGACTATAAGTATGTGCCACAACAAGCTTTTTTCTCAGAGCGTCTCAGAAGCAAAGTTTTCTAATTAAAAAAAATATTTTGTTTATATGAGTGTTTTGCCTGCCACCTGTGTCATGTAAAGCCCATGGAGGCCAGAAGAGGGCATAGGATCCCCTGGAACTAGAGTTAGGGACAGGTGTTAGCTGTCATGTGGGTGCTGGGAACCAAACCCAGGTCCTCTGCTAGAGCAGCCAGTGCTCTTAACTGCCTAGGCATCTCTCTAGCCCCTCTAATTTTTTAACTTGTGTAAAATTTCAAATCTATGTAAGCATGAACAATATATCTCATCACTGCCACAATCTAACAATGTCCTCCTACCACTAGTCAATCTACTGCTTTCTTCTACTGTTCCAGGCTTTAGTTTTGTTATCTGTTTGCTCTGTTCTTTTGAGACAATGTCTCAAAACTGGAGAGCCTGAAACTGGCAATCCTCCTCCTTCAGCCTCCCAAGTACAGACATTCACTACCTATGACCAATGTAAAATTTCATCAGATAACATGACCACTCTAGTGTTCTTCATTTTTCAAAACTGTTTTAGTCACTGCATTCACATATAAAATTTTAAAACAGCTTGTTCATTTCTAAAAAAGAAAAAAGGGTGCTGGAGAGATGACTCAGCAGTTAAGAGCACTGCCTGCTCTTGCAGAGGACCCAGGTTCGAATTCCAGCACCCTACCCACATGGTTGTTAACAACTGTCTGTAACTCCAGTTCCAGAATATCTGGTGCCCTCTTCTGGTCTCTGTGGCACACAAGTGGTATATTTACATACATACATGCAGGAAAAATACCCCCCACATATAAAACAAAATCTTGAAAAAGTATTTTTTAAAGTTGCACTTTTTAAAAAAAATTTTATTTAACCTGGGTCTTCTACAAGAACAACCAGTGTACTTAACTGCTGAGCCATCTCTCCAGCCCCTAAAGTTGCACTTTAAATATTAACAGACAAGACTTCAAAATAAATTCTACTCTATTTCTATTTTCATGCTTTTTCTTTTTAAGATTTCTCTTCTAGGGCTAAAGCTGTAGGCTGTGGTTTAGGGTCTGCCTAGCCTGTGCAAAGCTCTGGGTTCCAACCCTAGCATCACAAGCCAAACAGAAACAAAACAAATACAAAACCTTTTCCATTTATAAACCAAGACGAAACATTCTAGATGTGCTCATTAGCCTACAATTAAGGATAGTCTAGGCCAGACTTATGGGCTATGACTTACCCTTCTAAAACAGAATACTTACGCATCTGTTGTCTTTGTACACCCATTTAGATTAAGTACTTCAATGTTCCTACAGTTTTGTGCAAATGTCCTTTATGGGAAAGAAACAGAATAAAAGGTTATAAATAAATTGGACAAAATTCTAGACATAAAAAATAGAAGGCATCATTATTAGTAATATTGGTTGTTGGTACCTATGTTGTAATATGTATGAGAAATATATTTGGTTTTCATCCCTGATTCCCAGCATAGCGCTCCTAAGACTCTTATAAATTCCTGAGTGACAGGTATCTTTTGTTCTAGTATTTGGTCTTCAACTATGCCTTTGTAACACAACCTCCATAAAAACCTCTGAATAACGGTGATCAGAGCATCTGGGTTGGTGTGCTAGGAGGGTGGCATGCCCCTCTATTGACAGATGCTCTTATGCTTCAGATCCTTCTAAATCTTACCTTTTATCTGGATGTTCATTATGCCCATTATAATAAACTGGTACTAATAACTAAAATTCTTTCATGAATTCAGGACTCATTCTAGCAAATTATAAAAATCGAAGGGAGTGTCATGGTGAACCCCTCCTGATTTACAGACCACCACTCCTAAGCACACAGTAGCATTTACAGACCACCACTCCTAAGCACACAGTAGCATTTACAGACCACCACTCCTAAGCACACAGTTGCAACTGGCACTGAAGTAGGAGAGACTACTGGACTGAGCTGGCAGCCTCTGGGGACTGGGCTACATCTGGGTGTTTAGTGTTATCACTGAACTGAATTACAAAAAAGCTAGTTAGTATCTGCAGATTCAGTGGATTGGCTGTTGGGTGGAGGAAAATAACAGCTCGGCATTATGCAAGTATCTGGTAAATTTTCAACAACAGGGTTGGGTGTGGCAGAGGCAGGCGGATCTCTGTGAGATGGAGGCCAGCCTGGTCTACACAGTGAGTTCCAGGCCAGCTGGGGCTACAGAGAGACACTCAGAAAACAAAACAAAACAAAAAAACCCCAAAACAAATAAACCAGTTTTGTTTTTACCTTAATGCATTGTCTCCTACTCCAAGACACCCACGAAGACTTAACTTTCGTAAAAAGCCCCCACATCGTTTTGAAATATTCTCCACTACCCGGCCCTATAAAAAGAGACAGGTAAGCAAAAAGATAGTCTACCTCATTGCTTTTGATAAGAATACATCTTCATTTTTAACAACTTATAACAGAGAAAAGGTTTGTACTTGTTTCCAAGATCTAAGTAAGAACATTTCAACTCACTCTGAGAAAGCTTTTTTGAGTAATCCATTGCTTGAAACATGCCTACAGCCTATACTTATTTTTTTTGTTCAACTGTAAGATAACCTGCATTTGAGGAATGTTTTTTCTTTTTTTGGTCTTTTTGAGACAGGGTCTCCCTGTAGCACCAGCTGTCCTGGAACTCACTATGTAGACCAGGCTGGCCTTGAACTCACAGAGTCTGCCTGCCTCTGCCTCCCGAGTGCCGGGATTAAAGGCATGCGCTACCACGCCTGGCCTGAGGAATGGTTTTTTCTAAATGTCTTACATCTTTACATGCATGAATACTGCCCACCTGGGCTAAACCACAGCTACTAAAGGACAGTAACTACATTTATTTTTGTGTCCTTTCCAAAACACTTACTATACTATGGCACTCTGCATACAGTAGGGACTCAATGAACATTTAACACCTTGCTGAATGATTTTGTGGACATGTCTCTTTAAACACATATACCCATGAGATCAGAAAATTGGGCGGGGGGGGGTATGACTTAATGCCTGTGGTCTTTGATGTCTGTTTTGGGGGGAGTTTTTAAAGACAGGCTGGCATCATACTTGCTACATAGCTGAGGATGACTCTGAACTTTGTGTGTGTGCACATGTATGCAGGCGCATTTGCCTATGTGGGTATGTATGGCTAGGGGCTGATGTCATGATGTCTTCCACAAATGTTTTGCCACCTTATTTTTGGCGATAAGAGTGTCTCTCTGAATCTGAAGCTTCCACTTTGGTTAGATTGGCTAGGTCTTGGGATCTACCTATTGCCCCATCCCACCCCACCTCCATATCCAACTTGCACATGGGTACTGGGATCTGAACTCAGGTCATCATGCTTATGCAACTGAGCCATCTCCCAAGCCCCTGGCCTAAAACTTCTGATATTCCTGCTTCTGCCTCCTAAATGCTGGAATTACAGGCATGCACCCATGTGGGGTCCTGGCTGCCACCATGCTTTTCCATTTAGAGAAAACAAGGTATACTAAAAGATAAAAATGGAAAAAAGGGGTTGGCTGTGGTGGCGCACACCTTTAATCCTCAGCACTTGGGAGGCAGAGGCAGTTGGAACTCTGTGAGTTCGAGCCCAGCCTGGTGTACACAGTGAGTTCTAGGCCAGCTGTGACTACAGGGAGACCCTGTCTCAAAAAGACAAAAAATAAATACCATCCCAATAAGTTTACACTTGCTTAGTATTAATCAAACAGATATAAAATAATTTCCTTTGAATGAGCAAACAAACATAAACCTGCAAAAACAAATAAATAAAAAACACTTTTAGTCCTAATTCAGGATTAAAATTATTCTAAAGAATTTAATGTTATTTCACCTATCCTCAAAAACTGAAGAGACAAAGATATAGCTCAGAAACAGAGATACAGCTAAGTTAGAAAGTGCTGCTTACCAGCCGGGTATGCACTCAAGAGACAGAGGCAGGTGAATTTCTAGGAGTTCCAGGCCAGCCTGGTCTACATATTAAGTTCCAGGCCAGGAAGACACTGTTTCAAAAAAAAAGACTAAAGAAAGAAAAAAAGAAAAGTGCTGCTTAACCATGTGTGAGGCCCTAGGTTTGAATCCTAGTACCACATACTTTCCCCCAAAAAAACCACCTGAGGAGCCACCTCTTGAGAACATTGGCGGCATCTATGAAGTACAGATTTACCAAAACTAGTAACTTCTCCAGTGAGAAAAAAAAAATTTTGTGTGGCTAGGGAAAATGTTGTAATTACTAAGGCACTACATAATCATACCTCAATATCTCTCTGGAAATCAAACAGATCAATTCGCTGCCAGTTACTACCATCCAGAGCCAGAACATTCCAGGCCTATTTTGAAGAAAGAGGCAGAATAAGAAGAAGAAATGAAAGATTTAATATTTAAGTTCACAATTCATCCAACAAATAATTGAAATGAACCCAAAATTTTTCATTTCCTACCACTGACTTCTTAGCACCCTGTAGCAGGCAGTGTAGCACTGGAGAGGCCCAGGCAAGAGGGCTGATGCATGATCATTTCTCTGTGTTTAATGTTTTCCTCTTGTCAATTTGCTCACTTTGGGATGCTTTGTAATTGATCAATATTCTGTCCAACTTGATTCAGCAATAATTTTATTGTTTTGTGATGCAGGGGATCAAATCCAGGGCCTTGTACATGCTAGGGAAACACTCTACCACCAAGCTATCTCTAGTTATTGTTTGTTTTTGAGACCTGGTCTCACTATGTAGACCAGGTTGGCTTCCAACTCTTGATCTTCCTGTCTCAGCCTCAAGAGTCCTAAAATTCAGGTGCAGGATTCAGTAATTTTAAAACTGAAAGCTGATGGGATGTGGCAGCACACACCTTTAATCCGAGCACTTGGGAGGCAGAGGCAGTCTCTGTGAGTTCCAGGCCAGCTGGAGCTACACGGAAACCCTGTCTCAAAAAAAAAAAAAAAAAAACTCTGAAAGCCTAAAATTCCTCAATCTCTTCAATAGACTCAAGGGAGCAAGAAAATTGGTTGAGCTTTCCAACATTCCTGATAAGGTAAGAAATGACTTCAGTCAGTTAATTTGTTTTCAACAATTCTATATATTTTTTTAAAGTTATTTTTTATATTTTATTTATTTTTATTTTATGTATATGAATGTATTGCCCACATGTAAGTAAGTGCACCCGGGTCTTCTGCAAGAACAATCAGTGTTCTTAACCGCTGAGCCATTTCTCCAGCCCCAACCATTCTCTGTTTTAAAGCCTTTAAAAACTTCCCCTGTGTGTATGTGAAGAAGTTCTTACTATGTAGCCCTGGCTGGCCTGGAACTCATTATGTAGATATTGCCAAGTGCTAGAATTACAGGTATACACCATCACATCTGGCTCTAGAGTATTATCTCTTATTACAACAAATTTAAGAAGCAATTTAATACTGGTTATACTTACAGCCATTTCCCTGAAAATTTTAAAAATGAAATTCTAGATATACTGAGAAACCAAAGTGTGGTTCTCATATAGTTAGCAAGAAACATCAAGGGTTTAAATTCAAGCAAGCAACTATTCTGAAAGTGGATGAAGTTTCCTCAGGTGGTCACTGTTACTTTTCTCTGTTTTTCCTATTTTTCCAGTGGTATTTTAAATGGCTAGCCATAGGAGGTGACAAACAGAACTTCTAAAGATCATATGCTAAAGAGATTCTTGGACTAAACATATCTGTGGCTTGCTGGTTCTTACTTCCTTTTACTAGTATCTCCAGCAAGCAGGAAGCACACAGAGCTCAGCCTAAAATTAGGAATGACAGGTTCCTCCCTAGAGTCTACTCTTAAAAAAACAAGCAACACCCCCCTTCCCCAAAAATCCTCAAAACCAAAAACCCTAAAGTGGTGGTGCACGCCTTTAATCCCAACACTTGGGAGGCAGAGGTAGACGGATTTCTGTGAGTTCAAGGCCAGTCTGGTCTATATAATGGGTTCCAGGCCAGCTTGGGCTACAGGGGACCCTGTCTCAAAAAGACTAAAACAAAACAAAACAAAACCCTACAGTGCTGGTAGCACAGCAAAATTATAATATATATAGAGGGCTTGCCTAGCACATGCAGGAAAACTGCAGAATACTACTGCACCAATTTTTCAGATTTAATAAAAATTGACACAGTTCCTTTCTTTCCTTAAATGAAACCAATATCAAAACCTGTTTATGTGAATATTACTAGGTGAGACTGCAACTGAACAGATTTAGATGCTGGTCTAGGTAATTTGTTTATGAAGACTTTACTTCATATGGAGTCAGAAATGGAAACTTACTCATCTGTGATGAGAATGTTCACATTTAGAGACCATACATTTACTGAGATAAAATGTCACACAATAAACCACACCATTATCCATTCTTTCCAAAATACCTGATTATACAAATTAAGTATAGCTTTTAGGATGGAGAAATAACTTTAAAATTAGCATAATGGAAAATCTCTACATTATGTTTTTGGCTTTTTCAAATATGGTGGCAGTGAGGGTTACAATGGTTCTTTGAGGAAACACTTGGGTCCACCCAACAGGAAAATATTACTTTATAGTATTTTCATGAACTCTGGTCTAGTCTGCTCTGCAACTTCTTTTCCTTTCCTAATTCTGTCATCTTTCAAGGAAAGTATGGAAAAAAATATGTGAACTAGACATTCAAGACTGTTTAATACATCCATGTGTGTTTGTGTGATGGTATAAAATGAACTATAAAAGTAGTAAAACATGATTCCAATACAATTTTTTGAGCCAAGCCCAGCTAATAAGCAGAGTCAATACTTTTCACTTAAAATCCTCTGTTATAAGGCAATCACATTTAAGGATCTATTGGCAATTGATAGCTGCTCGGAGAGGAAGTGTTGGTTTTATTAAGGGTGTGACACCAGGTATATTGACCAAACGCCAAGGGACAGACCCACATCCAAGAGAATTTGGGGAACAGAAGTCACTGATAGCCCTTCCTTCCTTCCTTCCTTCCTTCCTTCCTTCCTTCCTTCCTTCCTTCCTTCCTCCCTCCCTCCCTCCCTCCCTCCCTCCCTC